CGGCGGAGCTCCCTATGGAGCCACGAAACGTGTGAGGGGTGTGCCGAAATGGGTGTGGGTGACGCATGCGGGCGCGGGCACTGGGGCCTTCGGTGGAGCTCCCTATGGAGCCACGAAACGTGTGAGGGTGTGTGCCGAAATGGGTGTGGGTGACGCATGCGGGCGCGGGCACTGGGGCCTTCGGTGGAGCTCCCTATGGAGCCACGAAACGTGTGAGGGGTGTGCCGAAATGGGTGTGGGTGACGCATGCGGGCGCGGGCACTGGGGCCTTCGGTGGAGCTCCTTATGGAGCCACGAAACATGTCAGGGGTGTGCCGAAATGGGTGTGGGTGACGCATGCGGGCGCGGGCACTGGGGCCTTCGGTGGAGCTCCCTATGGAGCCACGAAACGTGTGAGGGGTGTGCCGAAATGGGTGTGGGTGACGCATGCGGGCGCGGGCACTGGGGCCTTCGGTGGAGCTCCTGGAGCCACGAAGCGTGTACTGGGGGGCCGAAAGAGGAGAGTTACTAGGTGGGTGAAGAGGAGAGGAGGAGAGGAGGGGAGGAGAGGAGGAGAGGAGAGGAGAGGAGAGGAGAGGACAGGAGAGGAACGCGGGGCACCGTCTCTTCAAAACGAGGACCCAACACCACAGGATGGTTGGGAAAAAAGGGTCTTGGCGGAGGGGCGCGCTGGATGGTGGGCGGGGGGGATGTGGAGGGGGTGTCCCGTGCCGGAATACATGGGTCGGGGCGGAGGGGTGTGCCGTGCCGAAATAAAAGGGGTCGGGGCGGAGGGGCGCGCTGGCTGGCGGGTGGGGGGGCGCGGAGGGGGCGTGGAGGGGGTGCGCCGTGCCGAAATTAAGGGGTTGGGGCGGAGGGGCGCGCCGTGCCGAAATAAAGGGGTCGGGGCGGAGGGGCGCGCTGGCCGGTGGAATGCGTGGGCGATGGAAGGGGTGCCGTGCCGAAATTAAGTGGTCGGAGCTCTAGACACCCTGTGCAATAGAATAAACCCGTCGGAAGTCTGGGTTGGGGGCAGCCGAATGATTCCAGACAGAGATGGGTTGTGGTATGGCCCCGTCCGGCGCCCTCCACGCGCGGTCGAGGACAACTCGCTGCCAGCGATGATCCTGGGTAACTCTTATGCCGAGAAGGCGGCGCTGGACAGAAGAAACACTCGACAGCTGACCCTCGAAAATCGGAGGGGAATGGCATCCCACGGAAAAGATGGAACACAAATGGGGGGCGCGGCTGCGGGCAGCGGCTTTAAAGACGCCTGCCAGAACTGGTTTTTACAGGCGCCTGGAAGTGGCGTTTGAAGGACGCCTTCGGTTGACAGAGGCCTAGCGTGGTATAGGAGTGGCTGCCGATCGGGAGGTGGCCCTGGAGAAGCCTTCGGCTGGCACACACGTGCACGGTGTACATCACATTGCTCCGCCGCCGGGGGGCGACTGCCGCATGGCGCCTGGGAAATCTGTGCCCCCACGCGTCACCGCAGGGGTGCCAACCTTCAAGCCGCCAGGGGGCAGGCGCCCCCGACGGTACAAAATGTTATGGTATGACAGCTGTCAGGCCGGGCACGTCCCCCACACACAGGCAGAGCTTGGGCGAAAGATAAGACACGCCCCCACAGATACAAGACACATGCTGAACAGACCCAGAAACAAAAAGAACCGTCCCCTGACTATTATGTATCACTTGTTGTCTTCGAACTTGCCTCCTCTAGAGGGACACGCCCGGCTCACGAGACAGTGGCTCCCCCGCTGCGTACTGAGCTGGAGAGGCTCCAACTACACATCGGAGGGGGGGGGGCCATGGGGAAAGCGGCGGCTCTCCCGCCTGGCCCCAAGGCCGCCCCGAGTGGGAGTCGGTCCCCAGGACCTCCCTCGGGATCCCTCCTTGCAAGGGGCCCAGGGACACGCCAAGACGTGCACGCCAAAACCCCAGGACCCCCCATGGTTTCCCAGAGGTTCTGGGCTCTCGTCCTCTCCCCCCCACTCCCCATACCTTCCCACACTTTCCTGGGGATCGCCGATGTTGTGTCTGTGTGCTTCTTTTGTACTCCCCTCCTGACGCCTGGGCCGCGGCGACGGGAGGCCTCCGGGAGGCCCGAGCGAGAACGAAAAAAACCCGAGGTCCGCCGCCGCCTCGACCGCTCTGCGCCCGTTGCCTCCCTGGCCGCGCGCTGTGGTCCCGTCGTCCTCCGTGGAAGCTGGGCGAGGGCCGGCGAACCCATGGCTGCTACAATGGTCTTCCCCGAAGAGAGAAAAACAGACTCGCGGAATCAAGCTCGGCGCACCAAACAGTACACGGGCGGCTTCCCGGAACGAACAAGCACAATTTCCCGGAGCTGCGTTCTAGCAGCCACGGGTTTTGCCAGCCTTCGCCCGGCTTCTGACACTGGCTGCGCGCTGTGGTCCCATCGTCCTCTCTCCTGCGAGCGCGCCCCAGTGCGGACAAGCTGGACCTGACCATCGCCGAGTTGCTACCGAGACGGGCGCAGAGGAGAGAACCTCCCTTTCCACGCCCTGGACTTCGACCAGGCTGTTTCTGTTTGATCTCGGTGTCATCCTTCATTCCTGGAGAAGGAATCAACTGCACAATGATGCAATGTGGGAACATCACGCGCATTTCCTGGACCGGCGCTGGACACCCAGGGACGGCGCCAGAGGCGCAGCCAGCATGGTCCTGGCGCCGATCCAACGAATCCGCGCGGAACAACGAACAGTTGTTCTGCAATTTGCTAGTCCTCGAGGCGGGCTGATGTTTTTTCTATGGAGCAGGAGAGCACTACCGCAGGCGTCGCCCGAAGGGGCGTACTTGTCATACCGACGTTTCAAATAATCCAGCATGGTCACGCGAAGGTTGCCGTTGCAACTGACGACTCGGAGGCCTGGCCACTCGTCACTACTTCTACCAAAGAAATGTGTTTGGTACAAGACGCCGGGGGGGTGGTCACGTCCTTGTGGTCGTCTTCCCCCAGCAAACCTCCGACGGCAAAACCTGATCGCCCTAAATGCTTCACATACACATTCAAGTACAGGATGCCACGCTCTGTGCGTCCATGGACGACCTTCAGCTCTACCTGACCAATAGCAACCCATTGCGGAATCGTCGTAACGCTTTGCCGTGCGCCGTAGTGATACCCTCCAACTTGCTTAGCCTCTGCCCACGAGCCTGTAATGTTCAGTTCTTGAAAATACATATCCGAACAACTTCCGCCCAAGCGGCGCGCATCGGCCTGCACACGAAGCAATGCGTCTTCAGCGCTCACTCCACGAGGGATGTTTATCAGAACATGTTTGCCCGCCTGCATTAAATCGAACCGCTCGCCATGAACATTTTGAAGGTGGGGATCGCCAGTGGCAGCCACGCCTCCGGCAACTCCGCCCGCCATAGGAGCTGCGGGAGGAAACGTTGGTTGTGGCGTCGGCCAACCCAAAGGATATGTCGGGCTGGGCGTCGGGCTAGGCGTCGGGCTAGGCGTCGGGAAAGGCGTCGGGTAGGGCGTCGGGAAAGCGGTCGGGTAAGACGTCGGGAAAGCCGTCGGGTAGGGCGTCGGGAAGGCCGTCGGGTACGGCGTCGGGAAGGCCGTCGGGTACGGCGTCGGGAAGGACGTCGGGTACGGCGTCGGGTACGGCGTCGGGAAGGCCGTCGGGTAAGGCGTCGGGAAGGCCGTCGGGTACGGCGTCGGGAAGGCCGTCGGGTACGGCGTCGGGTACGGCGTCGGGTACGGCGTCGGGTTCGGCGTCGGGTTCGGCGTCGGATACGGCGTCGGGTACGGCGTCGGGTTCGGCGTCGGGCTCGGCGTCGGGTACGGCGTCGGGTTCGGCGTCGGGTTCGGCGTCGGGTTCGGCGTCGGGTTCGGCGGGCTTCGGCGTCGGCTTCGGCGTCGGGTAGGCGTCGGGTTCGGCGTCGGGTTCGGCGTCGGCCTCGGCGTCGGGTACGGTGTCGGCCTCGGCGTCGGGTACGGCGTCGGCCTCGGCGTCGGGTACGGTGTCGGCCTCGGCGTCGGGTACCGCGTCGGCCACGGCGTCGGCCACGGCGTCGGCCTCGGCGTCGGCCACCGCGTCGGCCACGGCGTCGGCCACGGCGTCGGCCTCGGTGTCGGGTCAGGCCCTTTCGCCGCCAGAGACCTGTCCAACGACTGCTGATCATCCGCGTCCCGGAAGCCCTTGGAGCTCCTGTCCATCAGCACCTTTGCCGCCGGGGAGCTGCTGGGGCTGGCCACCCTGCAGAGGCTACACGTTGCAGGGCAGGTCGCCTGCACAGTGCTGCCATACTTCACATCTCCGCAATAAGGCTGCACTTCAGCACAACCACTGATCGTGACGCCAATGCCGCTGGCCAGCGCAATGATGTGGGCGTCGTCATCTTCACACTTCGACTTGGAACTCACACCTATCGAGGTCGCAGTGGGTACGCAAATGCTGAGGACGAATGCGACCGCGGACCACACGATCCAAGGTGCCTTCTGGACCGCCATCCCACGGAACAGAAATGAAAGGACCCGCAAGCCAAATGTTTTCGCGCGTGTGTGTATTTAGATTACGGACAAGATGAAGGTTGCTCCAAATCTGCCGAAACCGGGATGCATTGAGCCAAAATGACAAGGGATCGAGGCGGGCTGTTGTTGGGCGTAATATGGGTCCATCACAAAGTCCGCTGAAGCGGAAGACGGTCCACGGTTGGGGGGAGACGTCGAAGATGCGGGTGTCCACCTTATCTGTATATATATACACATACATCATATGTGTATGTATGAAATAACGCGTTTCACGGACGCTTGCCTTGGGAACATTCGGCCGGCGCCAGCGGCCGCCAGCAACGCCGACGGCGGGGACGCAGCGACGATGACCCGAGGCAGCCCAGAAGGGGGGGGTTCAAGCCCCCCCCCCTGGCGCCGGCGGCGGCCAGCAGCGCCAGCGCTGGCGCCGGCGCCGGCGGGGGCGCAGCGACGATAACCACCACTACCACCACCACCGCCACCACTACCACCACCACCACCAACCCACCACACAACCACCACCACAACCACAGCCAACACAACCACCACAAGCACTATCACCACAACGCACCATCACCACAACCACCACCACAAAAACACACTACAACTACCACCACCACCACAATCTACCACGCCACCACCACCACCGCCACAACCACCACCACTACCAGCAGCACGACCCACCAGCACCACAAACCACCACACCACCACCACCATCACCGCAACCACCACCAGCACCACCTTCACAAACCACCACCACCACAACCCACCACCACCACCACCACAAACCACCACAACATCCCCACAATACCACCACCACCACCACAACCCACCACCACCACCACAAACCACCACCAAACAACCACCACACCACCACCACCACCACCACCCACCACCATAACCACCACCACCACAACAAACCACCACACCACCACCACAACCACAACCACCACCATCGCCACCACCACCACCGCCACCACCACCAACACCACAACCCATCACCACCACCACCACCGTCGTCCTCGTCGACGCTCCCCGCCGCCCCTGCCCGCCGCCGCAGGCGCCGGCGCCGGCCCAAAACAAAACATCGTCGCCCCCGCCGCCGCCGCCAACCGAGGAGAAGGAGAGGGGAAACGTAGGGGGGGTCTCGTGCCACCCCCCCCCGTCCAAGCGACCACGGACCGCGATTTTCGTATGTATGTATACATACATGTATGTTTGCGTGTGTATGCGTACGCATGTATATGTGTAGGTGGATAGGTCGATGGGCAATACTATATGTATGTATGTACGGATGTATGTGGCATACATGTATGATTGAATGATTGCATGTGTATGTATGAATACATGGTTGCATTAATGTGTGTGCATGTATGTGTTTATGGAAATATTCACGTAATCGTGTGTATGTAAATCACACATGTAACGTATGTACTGTATGAAGTGGATGTATGAAATTGTGTATATGTGAATGGATTGATGTACGGGCGTACGTAGGTTTATACGTATGTGAAAGGCCGCGTGTGTATGTGTACGTATATACGCACGCACGGTCGCGCGTACGTACATACGTACGTATGTGTGTACGTATATGGTTATGAACGTTTGCATGTACGAACGTATGTATGTATGCATGTATGCCTAATAAGGAGGCCGGCAGGCATGCGTGTATATATGTCTGTATGCATGTATGTGTATACATGTATTCATGTATGTATGCCTGCATGAATGTATGTATGTGCATGCATATGTATGCGTATATGTGTATGTATGCATACTTGCTTGTGCGCAAATGCGCCAACGCTCCAAACATTTATTCCGATTTGAGAGGCACGGCGCCGCGCGAATGCAGCGCAAACGTTGCGCTGGAAGGGCGCGGCAATTCATGTCCCCTGGACAGGCGAGAACAGCCGCGCCCCCGTGCGAACCCCGATCCCGCGCGGGGCGCACTCCCGCTGACAATGGTTCCCCTGGGAAGCTGTTTCTTGCGCGGGAAGTCCTGGGCGGTCTGCCCATCGGCGGTTCCTTCGGACGATGCCCGGAACCACAAAGAAACCGTTTGTCATGGGATGTTCCAGGCGATTTGCCCACTTTCGGTTTCTTCGGAGCGGGCCCGAAGACCTCGACTCGAGAAATACGTTGTTGCAAAGAGACCCAAGCGGTTTGCACACGTCCGGGTCGTTCGAACAGGGCCCGGATTTTTTGTTGGACGCAAAACCTATGGGATTTGGCCACTTTCAGGTCGGCCGATAAACTGTTCGGGTCGTCGCATGACCGAGCCCGAAAGTTTTTGTCGAGTGCTCATTTTCGGGCCAATACACCGTATGGGATTAAACATTTCAAATTGGGACGGGGAACCCGATCCCGCGACCCTGGGCGGGGGCAAGGCTCTGCCCTTGCATTGTACTGGGCCCCTCCGGCCAAACGGGGCGCTGGGCTGCCCGTCGGCGCGCCGACTATGCCCTCGCGACATCGCCCCCGTCCACCCTCGGGCCCCGCGAGTCGTATCCTGCGCGCGCCACCCCAGATGGCCGCGGCGAGCACGGTGGCGAAATTGGGGGAACTTTCGGATCGGCGCAGTATGTATGTTTGTATACATTACAAACTAGAGCCATGCGCGCGCTTCACGCGCGCTTAGGTTCCGTTGTGCCAATCAGCGGGTAGGCACGCACACCACCCAACCAAAATCGCCACGCGGGAACACCATCGCAAACGTGAACACACACAGTTTATTCCTTCACCGTGCCGCCGTGCACGGAACGAGCGTGTCCCGTATCCCCTGAGCCTCAATCCTCGATCAAGAGGGCTCGTGAAGGGCCCGGAGTCCAAAATTGCAGATCTCCATGGGTTTGCCGAAAGTTGGAAGGGGTCGGGCGGCCCAACCAGCAGCTTCGCCTAAGGCGAAGCCCAGATCCAACTCTGTTGTACCGCAGCAGCGATAGCCCCAGAAGTAGAAGATCGTCGCGGGAACGACGGGCCATCTCCAGCGAAAGTGCTTTCGGTCTCGATAGCAAGCGGCGCGCCTCCCAACGAGGTGCAGTCGTATCTTGGCGGTCGACCGGCCACGGACAGACGCTCGCTATCTCTCGCTTTTGCCCCAGCCCCCTTTATTGGAGTCGGGGGGGGTGCGATGCGTCAGTCCGCCGCCCGCTAAAGGCAACACTAAAGGCAGTCGCTACAGGCAAACTCAAATTGAAAGTGAACCCGGGCGCAAGTACCCCTGCGCGCAACTTGCCTTGCGAACAAATCGTTCTGCAAACGGATACTCGCCAGGCGGCCTCAAACGGCGCTGTCTGGCCAGCCCGGCATGGAGCATGACGCTTTAAGTCGCGCGTGAAGGATTGCGTTCCTCTCGTGACCTGTGAGAGCATACTTACGCAGGCCGCGGGATTTTCCTCTTGAACCCCACATGTCGGAAGCCACCCCCTCCTCCTCCCACCTCCTCCCTCCTCCTCCCACCTCCTCCCTCCTCCTCCTTCCTCTTTCGTCCGTCCGCCTCCCTCTTCTCTCCTCCCTCCTCCCTCCTCCTCCTCCTCCTCCTCCTCCTCATCCTCCTCCTCCTCCTCCTCCTTTTCCTCGTCCTTCCTCCTCCCCCCCTCTCTTCCCTGATTGTTCCTCCTCTCTTCCACCTTGCGCCCCTCTGTTCCCATCCCACCTCCTCGTGCCTCTTCCCTCATCTTTCCCCTTTCATCCTGGGAAGAACCCCCATCCCCCGTAGAATCATAGCATTGGTCTGCATATTCACAACTCCGTGCATGGCATGCTGCTTCACTTGCGGTGCCCCGCGGATCCCATTTTCCCTGGGTCCCGGATGTTAATTATTATTATATAGTTATTCCCGGGAAATAAATGGATCCATCGTTTTTTTTCATACACAAGAAACTGGATCCGCGCAACACAGAAATATGATCCACGAAACTCCCCCACACCCGAAAAGGGATCAATTGGACCCATTGGTGTTCTGATTTTTTCTAATCCAAGAGGAAAAACTTTCGGCCTGGGGATGCATTTCTGTCAATGCTCCCTTTGGTGTGACCGTCCGTTGTCATGTCGCTAGTGTCACACCAGTGTATACTATGCGCGATACCTCGCTCCATCATCTGTCGTGCACAACTGATGTGTCCAAAAAGAGTGCACTCGGTTGGTTCTTCAGGTCTTTGCATGGAAAGGACTTCAAGACAGATTCAGCATCCATGGCCAAAGTGACCTTAATGCTCAGGCTCCCCATCCCCAGTATATCCTTCCACTGAGTGGGTGTCAGCGGCCCAGCGTGGATTTCGTGCAGCGTGGCAATCGCGGGTTAGCAGTCCTCCGAGTTTTGGGCTGCTGCTCGTGTTTCTGCGGAGTAGCTCGAGCGGGCCTGCAAGCGGCGCGACTTGAAATGCGCATCGATAAAATAGACGACAGACGCACCAGCAGGCGCGCTTCCATGCCGTAGCAAGTTTGTCCCGCGAATGCAATTGCCCTTGACCTCACCATCAGCGTCTCCGCTCAGACGTCGGTAGCCGGAGTCGCCGTGCAGGTCGACCTCACCCGTTGGAGTCATTGATTGAAAGAAAATCTTCTTAGGGCAGGCCTGCAACTTCCTGGTGATCGCGTTCAGTCGTCGCACCTGTATGTTGTTCGGTTCTTGGTCGCGCTGTAGGACAACGACATACCATCAACAACTCCTGTGTGATTGAAACGCACGCCAACGCGCCTCCGAGGCTGACCAACATGTCAGTAACCGTCTTTGGTGCCTTGGCGTCAGCGTCTGCACTGGCGGGTTCGGGATATTGCACTGAACGGAGCTGTTTGATGTAGTCATCTTGATCAAGTGTGAGGTGGCCGCCCCCATCCCTAGTATACCTCGCAGCACATTGTGTGCGCGCATGTTTGTCGAGTTGCATTTCCACGAGAATCCCCGACGCACTTGAAGCACCTGTCGATGGTGACCTCGGCACCGGCCACGTTGATATCATCGACGTGCTTGGCCGTGATCAAGTTGTTGATTGTCTCGAACTCCCCATCGTAGGACGTGGGTCTCAGGCTCTCAGGTGTCCTCCGGCGTCAACTTGTCGGCCTCTGACTCGGGCGGGCTTCGCGTCGGCCTAGCTCTTCCAAGGCTCGCGCCGGTTGGTCATCCTGTCGTAGTCGGCGTGGGTCTGGGCGAACTCTTTGAAATCCCACCAGCCCTTTGGGCGTGAGTGGTTTA